ATAACGTCGATTCACCGTCGATTAATATCGAACGTCGTAATTTTCTTACCGAAAAAAATGCACCATCGGCGAGTTTTTTGCAAATACGAACTCGTTGAGACTCGTTGCTTTAAAATAGGTATAGGAGAGAAGCCGATCAATTACAGCATATTCACGAAACGAAGCTTTGTAAGTTCTCTATAATCTTCCCTGGGGTGGGCATTATCAACGGCTCCCCCCGGACCTATACAGTACGCGACGTATCTAAGATCATCAAAGATAGAGTACAGAATGTAGCGTAAATTGCCATCGAGGCCCAAAGTATCTTTCGTTCATCGGGTAAACAGCACATTGCCATAGTTATTGAAAGTCTTTCGCGAGTCTGCCGCTCCACGGCTGCTGAATCGCGCGCGACTGAGAAACGAGACGGGGTGAGAACAGGGTGAACCGTACGGCAGAGAGAAAGAAAGAAAGAGAGAAACCGGGAGGGGGGAGGGGGGGAGGGGTCAGAAAATTACAGACGAGGGATGCATACTATCGTTCGTACCGAGTTCACCGAGCAACGCTATTTCTTTTCCTTTCTATTGCCCCGGCTCTCTTCCCGCTTTCCTATCCCTCTCCGGGCGTCCTGTGCTCGTATAATCCGCAAATTACTAACCTAACCCACCCGAGCGCCTTAAAGATCAAGCCTTGTTCGAGGTAGATTCAAAGGAGGTAATACCCGCCCAGGACTTGGCAAGAATCCGCCGCAAAAAATCCACGGAAGAACGATGAAATACTTCTCCTCTGCTAGGGAGAGTCTTCGTCTTCCGACCTTCTTACCGGCGCGCTAGATGTCTGCCTTTGGCTAGTCTATGCTTCTTATATACGTGGCGTCGCGCGCTGGCATTTGAAATACTCCCTCGCTTATACCAGATCGCGTCCTCGCGTTTGATACGTGGAACGAGTTTACGACGAGTTTTTCGATGAAGCCCGAAAATCGCGAGGGTAGTAACAAAAAGAGGGGATATATATTCGGACCCGTTAATCCCGGCGACGTTAATGCTCTGCCCAGTGACCGAAGCTAGGTATCGAATCGTACAACAAAATCTCCGCTCGAGGGAAGAAATCAAAGTGATTTCACAAGTCTTCCTACCGTAATATTAATATAACTATAGCATCTCGCTTTTCCTGCAGTGCCTATAAAAACGCGTATTAAGAAAATATATTTACGGTTTGAGAATATAATCCGGAGGAAAATCCGATAATCTATTTTATTATTCAAATGACCTAAATATTATCCGATAAGTCTGATGAAATGCCATCCTATGATTTAAATGATTACTGTGGCAAATCGTACTCCAACACTTGCCCTTTATACTTACGTGTAACTCCGATAATTTTCTTCAGTTAGAGATTGATTTAATCAAGTGAATTTCAATGTGAGAACTCTATTTTGCCAAATTCTCGACACTATGACACACATTACTTTTAGAATTGTTGCCATGAGATATTTAGAACATACTCGTATAATATCGCAGATAACATTTCAATTCCGTTAAATGAACGGAGTATTCATATATAAAATCTGTTTTTCTTTATTATTTTAATATTTTATCATTTCCTCTATATGAATTTAAAAGAAGGTAATTAATTTTACAGAGATAAATACTTGCTTATTTATCTCTGCAAAATTAATTATCTTGTTTTAGAATATATTTTGATATAAATATAAATATATTTATAAAAATATAATAATGTATATATAGAGAGAGATATGTTTATTCATTCCCCAAAGCATTCTAAATTTCCTGATTTTAAAAGGAATTATGGTAATTAACTTGACTTAAAACAATAAAGATAAGAATTGAGAAACTCTGACTTTTTCAGTTTTCTGTGGTAATTTTCTAAGTTTCTGTGAATTTAAATTTTTTGTTCGAATATTTAGTGTTCTAACTTTCAAAAAGTATTATAACTCACAAATCAGTCTTGATTGATAAAAAGAAAAGTTATCAATTTTTGCATAATTAAAATATAAAATTCAAATATCATATCTTGAAATTTCTATTTTTTTTTAAATACATTTAATTACTTTAAGAACTCTTTTTCCTTAGTAGAAAAGTAAAAGTAGTATAAGAAATGTATTAGAAACTAAAACTTTAAGAGAAAGCTATAATTCGATCAATTATATTAAAACTTGGAAAACAGAATACTAATTTTATAGAGACAAGGCATTCAGATGAACAATCGCATTTAGCTTTTTATAATTAATAATTCATGAGAATTTATAATGTACATTATTACTTTCTTTTTGTTACTACATTTATTTAAAAAAATGTTACATGCAGATTATTACTTACTTAAATGTGTAGAGAACAATGATAAACGGGCCCGTCGAATGTTGCTCCGTTTAGCACAGCCTGTAGCTTTAAATCCACCCCCGCTACTCCCCGCCTATACACGCTCATCCAAAAGCATCCAATAAAGGTGAGCTTCACGACTGATCGTTAATTTAATAAACGATGGGAACACGCCGTTAAACTCGCAAGCACACGTGTGGGGGATAAAAAGTATCGGGAAAGAACTACAATCGACAGACATAACACTGTCCGTCGCCGCGCCGACGTTTACGATAATGAGCGTCCGATGTGCTTGCGTGGTATCGATAATGTGTCATTCCTGACGTATACGCCGATTTGTACCGCGTTATCGTTTTTCGCGTACAATAATTATAATTGTACATCCCTCACGACCGACGCGCCAATTATTTAAGACTCTAGTGTTGGACTCTGCAAGTCGCAGTTCTGGCAAAATGCCTCGCCGTGAAATTTCTGCAGATTAATAGATTTCACGTTGCATATACTTATAATATGTACACGTATATAATAATCCTTCGAAAATATAGAGAAGAGATCGATGTTACGGTGCATCACGAATATTACGCTGTTTATCCGTACGCGCGTATTACATAATCGAAGACTTCATCAGTCGGACTTTACTCGCGATGGTATTACGCTGCTTTTCCCCGACGTGTTTTTAATCCAAAGTTTTGTATCGGTTTCAAGATACGAGAGCAAAAGAGAGAGGGAGAGAGAGAGAGAGAGGAGAGGCAAAGCGAAAGAGAAGGAAAGAGAGACCGCGTGAAAGAAGGGAAGAGGGGTGAGTGGGTGGTGCATTTATGTGATCGTTCGATAAAGGGCGTTCGTTCGTCGAACCTCTCTTCTCGCTGCCAATATAACCGATTTTAGTGCCTCGTGAAACCAAGATCCTTTTCATTAAAGCTTTTACTGCTGACTAAATACGGCGAGCTGCGGCGAAGGGTCGGGTGAGAGCGGGGGGAGGGAGGGCAGGGGGCAGAATATACGAATGAGGAAGGGGGTGGGTGGGAAGTTCTAATCCCCCGAATGTTAACTTGGATTACGTGCAAACCGACCGACCTTCTCCCTTTACCGCAGGCGGCTAATAAAGACCGGAGTGGTGTGCATAGTAACCTATTCAATTGAAAGCACAGATACACCGAGTGATCGAGCAAACGTTCGCGAGCGTGACGAGACAAGATCCGATCGATATTGGATATTTCTGTCGGGTTGAAAATTAAATAACTCATAAGGGTATGTCAAAGTATCCTCAAACATTGCAGCAAAATGCTCGCCGTCCGAGAAGAACTGAGACTGACGAATGAGAGAGAGTCGATCACGTAAAAATAAATCTTTATCAAGAATTTTGGACTTATAACAAGATAAAATAACAAATATATATTTTACGGAACTGTAACATGTTAGAAGTAGAAATTTGAGCGCGAGAGAGAGATCTTAAGCTTCATGATTTGTACTTATTTACTTATTTCTCAATCATATTTGCCATTTTATTTACCACTGCGAGCTCGAGAAGTAAACGAAGAAAAAAAAAAAGAAAACTTTACAATCTTTCATGCTTGATCACGTAACGATCCCATTATGTTACGCAATGGAACGAACAAAATCCCATGCATCTTGATGGTCCGTGCTTCATTCATTTATTAAGTTCGTTATACTTAGTTTATCTCCGAGAATGCACGGGCGGTAGGTACGTGTCGGTGTGTACCGCGTCAGCCGAACGCCAAGTTACTTTATTTCGTATCATTGGCTCGCGCTGTTTAAAGAAGCATCGTTTGCGCGTCGGTGTGTGCTTTAAAAGACGAGGTCGTCGGTGCAGAACGTCGAGGAGAGAGAGACTATACGCGTCCAGACGGCGACGTCGTCGACGGCGCCAAGCGCCGTGCTAACTAGCACCCCTAGCACACATACACACACACGCCCACGCTCCTTTATTAAACGTCGCCACCCCCCCGTCGGCACCCCCCCTCCACCCTCCCTCCGCCATCCACCCTATGCGTCCTCCTTCATAAAATTGAACACGACGTGTACACCTATACGCACCGACGACGAACGGTACATACACACACGTAGGGGAAGGAAAACGGACGGAAGGGCTCGGCAAAAATCAGAGCGAGAAGACGAAGAGGACTCTCGCGCGCGACGGTCATTAAGCCCGAAGGTTTTCATTCCGATAGAACGACCTGTCGATTTGCGCGAATTAAAGTGTACTATTCACACGCGTCGCTTTTTACCGTAGTAATTCAGTTTTCTGACGAGAAAAAAAACCTTTTCAAATACGCCAATATGCGAGTTCCCGATAATTATTATATGTTATGTTATTATTTTCTATGTAAGTATACCGAAGTATCTGATAAAAGATTAATTGCAAATAGACCTGGTTTTGAAATGTTAAAGTATAAGTTCTATACCAAATTTTTATTTATGTTGTGTACGTATAGAAGATACAAATAATATCCATATTAAATATCCATCTATAATATATCTTTTTATAAAAAATACTGCTCTATATGTAAATATATATCATTTTTTGTAATAATATATAATAGGAGAGATAATATATATAAATTTTTTAATATACATATACATATATAGAGTTTTATATTTTTCTTTTTTCAACAAAGAAAATCAATATTTGAAAAATGCAAATATATTAATTATTAATTTTTTCAATAATCTTTTCTCGATCTTTTATATTTATCTCTGAGCCAAAGTAATTATATATATGATATATATCGGTTTTTTATCGTGCACGTTTCATTCTCTCTATAATAAGTCTTTTACATTGCACGTCAATTAAATTTAGAAGCCGAAGGATCGTTGGCCTCTTATGATTTGATGATAATAAATTTAGAGACTAATAAATGATAATAAATTTAGAGTATTTTCTTCATTTTAAATAAAAATTACGGTTATTCGTAGAAACAATGATGAACGATTATCCACATTCGGTCGCTGTTATTCCATTACTTGTAACCAGAGTCGAGCACTTGTGACCCCTCTCGAATGACTAACGATCTGATGAGATGGAGAATGATTGATTGGACTCGCATACATACACTCTTGACTATTAATTAACTTTCCTAATACGATGACGGAACAGTACACAAATTCGTCGCGCAATCTACTAATGAAATGGTACGCGATATCATTGCAATTCGAATACATATATATATATATATATATATATATATATAACGAAAATATAATACATATAAGAACAATAAAAGATATCATTGTAATTCGAATGTACGGAAACGTGATACGTGTGGAAATAATAAAAGATAATATATCGGCCGTGTGTGAAATACGAATCGGCCAACGTCTAATTACAGGGAGCTACGTGGCATTCGAAATCAAGCGATTCTGGCGAATTAAACTTCGGGGATAAACTTGTAATGAAACCTTCATCCATCCATTCCACGTTACACGTAAAGTTAACCGGCGAGCGCAATAGTTTTGTTCCTAAATACATCGTGATGTTAAATTACTTGCGACTATTATTAACACGCGGCGCGGGGAAAACTGCATAAACAACGACATTAAAATATTATACCTATGTACATTTAAAAGTGCACACGCGTCCCTCCACCACCCACTGTCGTGCATATTCATTAAGTAAACACATTGCAAACGGCTGCAATTAACGGGTTATCGCGCCGACTACAAATCTTGATAATTTACGGAGGAATATCGGAGGGAAAAATATTGCGCCGACTGTTGCATCTTTAATGACCCTCGCGTATCGCGCGCGGTGCGCTCCCGCTTTATTACCGTGGCTCGAACGCGGCAACTTTTCAAAGCCCTGCCGCGCGCGCGGCTTCCAAGATGAAGATTGCGCGGACTAAATATCGACCCTCTCGCGCTGCCCGGTTCGTTAAGCGCCTTCACCCTCGGCTTTTCTAAATTTAGTCGACTCGTTCGATGCCATTCTTTTTACTTACCCCCGAGCGAGTCCACCGCCGGCCTAATCGCGTTAATTTTGTAGCCGCTGGTTCCTTTGAAAACCGTGCGGACGGGACCCGCCGCGCCGCCGCCAAGTGATTAACCTGGAAAAGGGGGAAGGTGTGTGTGAATATAGTATATAAAACTTTCGCTTCGTGCAAGTCTTATTTCTGCGTTTGTCGCGGCTGGCTGCCTGTCGAACGGCAAATCTGACGACGTCGAATTCTTTGACGCGGGTACAGAAATTGATTTCTCCTTCCTTTTTCCGAAAGACTACAAGGAAGCGAGCGCTGCAGTTAATTACGTTCAGTAATTACATCGCAGTAAACCTTCCTGACAAACTTTAATCTGCGGTCTCTCATGTGCACGTTTCTTCGTAACACCGCAGATTTTCGACGTGTTTTTCAAAGAAGTTTTTATGGAGAAAATGTAGGATCATTTTCTATTCTCTCAGTACATTTCACGTGAAATAGCATTTTAATAAAGATTATACTACATATTACTAATTGCAATGTTACCATCTATCTCGACTTTCCGCAGCAATACGCATTGTCCGATGATCCGCCTGCAGCTTTTTCCACTCCGGATACTTTACGTTTTTAATCCTGCAACGCGACAAATACACGGTATCAAACCACAACAGTCGGTTTATACAGTCGGCAAAAGAAACGCGAGAAATGCGGCACAATTTCGGCGCGCTTCGCTCGATATTACGGTGCGAGATCAAAATGACCGGCGCGTCACGATTAATCAACTATGCAAATCGCGACGCCGCGCATTACGATCGCGCGTCTTAGGGTGCGTTTTCCACTGAGCGCGTCACGCGTCGCGTCATCCGAAAATTGAAATTACCAATCAAAACGTCCCATTTTATTGCGTAATTTGCCGCGCGATCGGGATTTCATGCAAAGGAAGATTCTTTTATTTCTACACGGAAAAAACAGCTTTGTTGAAAGATCTAAAAATTTTGCTAAAAACAGATCTGAAAATAATTCTTTGTTGAATCATCAAAATAATTTGTTGGAATGTTAAGACTGATAAGCATTGCTATAAAACGTTATGATATTCCAGCAATCACTTTGACTTTCGCACAAAATTATTTTGATTATTGAACAAAAATTATTTTCAGATCTGGATTCAGCAAAATTGTTCTTTCCGTGTAAAATAGTCTAGAATGTCGAGTAAACTAATCGATGCGTCGCGTAAGGAGTCGCGCGGCAAATGATGCAACAAAATGGGATATTCTGGTTGATTAATTCGCGACGCGACGGATGACGCGACGCGTGACGCGCTCAATGGGAACGCATCTTTAATCCGATATGATACGACTGACAATCCGGAACGAATATTTACCTACCTAATTGTGTCCGGCGCTCCCGACGTGTATTTTTCTACGCCGACTTACATTTTCCCGGCGAAAGACGCGAAAGCGATCTCGCTTCGGCTATAAACGACGCGGCGTGCGAAACGGCTGGCGTGTCGCGATCATATTGCCAAATACGCGATCGTCGCGAACCGGGCTAATCGTGGCGAATTACGCCGGTCGGCGCGCGTTAATCCGACACGATTGACAATCTCTGCAACGATTGCTCCCCCGCCTCGTCCAGCGTCCGGCGTTTTCCGACGTATATTTTTCTGCGCGACGTCACTTTTTCCCGGCGAGAGACGCGGACGTGCGATCTATGTTCGACTTCAAACGGCGGCGCGACGGCGCAAAATCGACATTTGGCCGCGCCGTATCGCGGAGATTCGTAAACGCCCTGCAAAAGGGTTAGCCGCGCCAGGTGTTCGCGGCAAATTGCCGCTGCGCGCAATTAGTTCCGCACGCCTAAATTATCCGCGCGACAGCTTACGCGGTACTGACGCTGGACGCATGCAACTTACGCGCGCGAGTTCAGTCTTTTCCAATAGAAGATGCGAAAAAAGCGGAGTGGTCTCGCATCGGTTTCGAACTCGTTACGGCCGCCAAAGCAACATGGCCGCCACGTAACCGTGACGTCAGTGGCGACGTGTCACGTGGTCCTGTGCGGTCCGTTCGCGTTACCTGCACTCTCCGCACTTTAACGGTCTGTACTCTTTGGATGCAGCGAGAGATATCTCATAGTCGACTTTGTATTTATACCTGAAATAGGAACAGAAAGAGGAAAATTGCGAGAAAGTGCAGTTAAAATGAACAGGCATGAAAGCTAGAGAAATATAAGATCCCACTATTTCCGATTACCTTAGTAATTTTAGCCGATTATACATTTAAGATGAAATCTTTTCGTTTTCCTTTGTCCATTTTTTTCAAATTGTAATTTATTTATATAAATTATACGTTTTACAATTTGCAATTCTTAAATGCAATCAATTGATTAAGCTAATCGGACGTGATGGGAGGGACCAATCCATAAAAATATAAAAATTGTAGAAGTCGCCAAGTGGCTCCATCTCGCGTTAAACTTCGAAGTTTAATATCGAACTTTCGGCTCTGTTTAGTTTGTTTGGTTGATAAAAAATTGACGATAATCAATTACTTGAGTTATCGCGTCGATCTGCTGCATATGTGTGATTTTTTATTTAATTAGCGATGAAATTAAATGAATTGCTTGAAATTGTATGATATTCTATCATGATTAAACGCTGTGCGAACGATTTACGATTCTAACCTCCTTCATAGTAGATCTAACTTCTAACCGTTTACAGTTTAAAGAGTATTTTTCTACGTTTTCCATTCTTAAAATAAGACAGTCGCATGTAGATACCGAGTATTGAAGAAAAATTAAGAGGCGAAAGACAAGCCGTAGTCGGTAGTTCGCCAAAAAGCGAACCTATAATATATTGTCGTCTGCTACGAGATGCACCGTAACCCTTCCCAAAAATGGCTCAAGTATTGAACAGATCACTGATCAACAGGCGTATTTATTTTCTGTTGAACAACAGTAAAAGATTCGCCGGTCATAGCAAATGGGCGAATATAAAGCATATAAAGGAGGAAAATGATAATAAACGAATGGTACTATTTCATCACCTGAAGCTACAAATGACAATTGCAATACAGGGTATGTAATATTTTCATTAATTGTGACTTGTGTGTAATGATAAATGCTAAACAATAAATTCCCATATATATATATATATATATTTATATTATATTAAATAAAAAATTCTACTCGCGTAATTAATAGCTAATTTGGAATATATTTTTTCAATGTTCTTATACATGTCATTTACATTTGATTTTGTTGCAACATAATGATTTTATAATAATTAAATATGGGTTCAAGTTATGAAAGAAAAAATGTTTTTTTTTAGAGAACGGCAGTGCGAAGCCTAGTAATAATTCGAAATTGGCACAACTCATCGAACGAGCTAAGAAGGCGAACATGCCTGCGGCATCGATAAAGTCTTTTCTCGAGAAAATGGAGGCACGCAAGAACAAGACTCAGACAGGTGTGCTAGAAGTTCGTGGACCAAGTGGTTACGTCATGCTCGTACGTTATACAACGGATAATCCCAAGACGTTCGCAATTCAGCTGAATATAAAACTTAAAAAGACCAAGTATGAACGATATGTATGTCTCCAGTATATATAAAATGTCAACTCGAAATACATTACAAAGTATTATCTGAGAATGTTTAGAAACGAAATTTTGCTTTACTATGTTACCTAATACAATATCTGCTCATCATACAGTTCTTTTGTATACAAATGTTATACGAGCCAGCATAAATTAAATATTTCAAAATGTAGTATCTTTCGTCTAATATTTCTTAATTGTGCACACAGAGGAAAAGCTACAGATACCTCTGCGAAAAACGCATTTACTCATGCCGGCAGTATAATAGTCGAAAAAAAAGATAATTTGGAACAAGCTATGGAGGATGCCATTAACATAGGTGCAGAAGACGTGGAACAATTCGAAGAGAACGATACAGAATATTTCCAGGTATTCAATAAGAGAGCTTATATTTTAATTAATTATAAATAATCTTTAAAAATTGTAATCACGTACAAAAATATATACAACGAAGAACATGTATGTGTTTGGATATGCATGTACGATATCAAAATTACAATTTGTATATATTTATTATATATTAGGTTTTTTTTGTTACAGTTTAGATGTGATCCAAAGCTCTTAAGCAAAATAAAAAACTTGTTAGAAGATCACCAATATTGTGTACTTTCAGCGGAAGAGGATTATATACCACGAATTGTAATAAAATTAAATGAATCAGATTTGGAAGAGGTTTCTCGTATTCGCGAGGCAGTTTTAAGCTTAGAAGATGTCAGTCACATACATGATAATTTAGCATAATTTATGATATGAGAGATAAATGTATATAAGATTTCAATTGTACATTTTACACAATAATTATGATTAAAAAATTTATTCAAAAAAGTCAGGAACGCTGAATAAATTTTGTATATTACAAATTATACATTTTTTTAAATTTGAATAGAAGATATGAAGAATTGTTATTTCAATATAAGGATTTTTGTATAAAAAATATCTTTATTGAAATCACATTATCGGTCAAATAAATATAGTTATAAATACAACTTATTTCATCTTACAAATCAATACACATTAATGTATATTAATTAAAAATACACGCATACTTTTATTTAATAATATTTGCATATGTTATAAATGTCGTTATGTATAAAAATGCTTTATTACTAAAACTACTCTATATATATATATATTATAGTTCACATTCAACATCATCTGTACCATAACCTTTTATATTGTGAATATTAGAACCTGGGAACTCTAATATTGCATTGTTATGGAAAAGTGTTATCAGCATTTTCTTAGACATTCTCGCTTTTACATTCCATGGGCTATTGATTATATTGTCGATAGCATTAATCACTTTACCTTTTTTTGAAGGTGTTTCGGTACACTCCGCATTTTCTATTTCGTCCTGTTTTGTAACATTTACGTCCGCAACTTCTTTGTTATGATTAGAAGAATCTTCTACGTCAGACGCATTCTTATGTTTTGATTTCTTGCTTTTTTTATCTTTTTTTACTAATTTTTTGGCATTTAAATCCTGCTCCTTATCAGTGTTTTCCTTATCGGAGATTTCCCTTTCTGTATTACAAACATTAATTTCATTCGAATCTTCTTTGTCGAGGCTTTTCCTTTTCTTCTTCTTTTGTTTAGTTTTTTCTAATGATTTTTCTTCTTCTTCTTTGGTTGTAGGATCTAGCAACGTTTCAATTATTGCTGCATCTTTATTTTTACTCTCGATTAAATCATTTTGTTGTCGCCTTGAATCTGATTTATCTAATATCTTGATATCTTGTTGATCATTGCTTATTTCAGTTTGAATTGTATGTTTTTCACTCTTGCAATTTTCCTTATCTTTTTTCTTTTTCTTTTTACATTTCTTGGATATTGCCGTTTCTTCTTCTTCTTTACTATCCTTAGCTTTCTTCTTTTTATTGCTTATTACTTTTACAATTTCAATGTCTGGCTCTTCGTTTATGGCATCAAGTACTATAATGTCTTTGGCTCTTTTCTCTTCTTTTTCTTTCTTTTTCTGCTTCTTCTTCTTCTTCTTTAATTTTGGTTCCACATTGTCTGTTTCTCCATTTTCAGCACCATTAGTATCCAAAGTATCCTCCGATTCTGTACTGATTTCAATTATTTCCTTTTCTGGTGACTCTTGTATCGTTTCTAGATTGGATACCTTCCTTTTTTTAACTTTCTTATTTCTATGCTCGTTCAACTCGTTATCATTAATTTCTTCAAATAATATTTGCACATCTAACGCTTTATTGACAAATCCATTCGTCACAGGAGTCGCAGTGCTCTCGTGCTTCCGTTTCTTTTTGCTCTTCTTATTTTCAACCTCAAATTTATCCAATGTGACCTCTCCTTTCCTTTTGTTCTTAGTGGAATTTAAATTGTATTCGTACAACATGACGTGATCGTTAAATGTTACACGTTTCTTGCCATTTCTTTCGTCCGTCAGATCTAAACCGCAGTTTTCGAGGCCAAACTGTGCTCTGACCACTTCAAACTCCTTGCCATTACAATCTTCCTCAGGTCTTGCGTCTAGATTGAGGGCTGGATTAATGAAACCGTTTCTGCAATCACCATCAATGACTTCCGTTTTTAATTTTTTTCTCGCGTTACGTTTATCTATTTCAGTGACATGCAAATTGTCACTTTCAAATTCCTTCTTTCTCTTCTTCATAGACTTTGCAGGAGATCCACGGTTGGTGCCACCGGCAGTTTCTGTAGGACTATTCAATCCCAAGCAAGGATTATCGAAAGCGTAACTGCTTTTTCCGTCAGAATCTTTTAACGCTCCGTAATTGGCCACCGATTGGGTACCTTCCGTTTTCGATATAAATCCAAAACCAACGTGTTGATCACTCTCACTTTCAGAGTCAGTCGTTCGGTTCTCAGTCATACTGCTCGATAAGTTTGCATCGTTGTTTACATTATATGTCGAGCGATCAGTATTATTATAATTCGACTTAAGTTTGAAGTAATCGGCCATATTACCGCCGTTAATTGTGGCGACTCCGTACCAATTGTCTCTGACGCCAACTTCTGTCTCAGGGATATCATCCTTCTTTGTCTTGCTCTGAATTTTCTTCTCCGCTAATTCCTTTTGGCCAAATATATTTGCCAGATCCTTTGACTTGTACTTAGTTATATCCTTGCCACGTGTGAACTTCTTGTAACTGCAAATAAATTAGTACATTTTCATTTCAAAAAAACATACTAATAATAATAAGAAATAGACGAAATATATTTATTAGTGTTATTTTTATAAAGAAAATTATAATATTTGTAAAGATAGATATCACAAAAAGTGCTTGGAATTTTGTCCAAATCTGAGTGTGTAAATCTTGTGTTTACAGATATTTGTGCAGAAATAAGAGACTAATGCGATGCTTACTGTATGCGAGCATGACTCTGCTTAGACTTCAGCTCGATAGACTGTCCATTGAGATTAGCGTCTTCATTCGCTGAATTTTTACCAGCGTCTTGATCCTGATTTCCATTGAGCTGCTGCAGCAAGTCCCCAAATTTCTCCTGATGCTCAGTCCACATCTCGACATTTTTGTCATATCCTACACCTTTTAAAAAGGAAATGACATTTCATTCAAGCTTGCAATGCCTCTACAAAATAGTCAGTCTATATATAAAAATTATAGATTGTTTTAGTTACCAGTTGTATCGTTCTTGTGCGACACGCTAGAAAATTCTGTAATGCCTTGCTCGTTAGCGCCAAGTCCTTTTCCTTTCGTCCAGCCCATCTTCTCCAACATCCTCTGGCCGAATTTGTTCGAGTCTGTGTGTGTCGACGTTAACATATCAATGGAGAGAACACGAATTGAGATCACACAGTGTGCAATGAATGCAATAATCGGGCATGTAATAATTTATAAATCACAGGCAGAAGTGAACTTTATGCGGCTTATGTGTCTCAAAATATATTAACCTTCGGTCCACCACTTTCCTCGTGGATTGAGACTCCATTTCTGCTTTTGCCGACGCTCCGCAAGCATGGACATACTTCCCAATTTAACTTTCGATCTCTTTAATACAACGATCGAACGACTAAATTAAAAGCGATGGAACCTCACTTTTCTTCACGACATCAATTCCAAAAGCTACTCTTATTCTTCCGACAGAACAATTTGCATTAACAAAACTCAAGTATGGTACAATACTAAAATACTTTATGCTCGCGGGAAGATGAGGACTTATATTAGGTTTATAGGTTATGAGTTGTTCATACCGTTGAATGTCGATATTCGATGTTATCGACTATTCGATATTTTTTCTGTATTTGAATCGAAATATCGAATAGAGAAAAAGTATGAATATAATATCGAATAAATACTTTAAAATTATTCAGAAAACGAATATTTTTAAAACTCTGTACGCATTGCATGTACTGCAAAAGTTTTTGAGAATTTCAAGCAACGCGAACAAACCTAATATTCATCACTTTCTCTTTTTCCAATACTTGAATATCTCCAAATCGACCATATATATATTAGCCATTCATTAAAGATTCGCAACCAGCGAGCAAAAAGAAATTTCATGCAAAGATATAAATAGAAACATTAGCAATTTAACCTAAAATTAATATACAATAAATGTACATTAAAAATATTTAATTGCATATTAAATGCACATATTAAAAAATATTTAATTTTTAATATCTAAAGCCCCATCTACATAAGTCGCAAACGCACAACGCAAACGCAAACGCGGAGAAAAAAAAAGAACGAAACGTCAAAAAATAAAAGAAAAGAAAGAGAGAAACGTCTGCGTTTGCGTTTGCGTTTTGCATTTGCGACTTATGTAGATGGAGCTTAAAAGATTTGGGAAAAAATGATGAGAATTAAAATATAAAATATTGAAATATTAATAAATATTAATATTAATATTAATATTAATATTAAAATATTGTATATATTTGAATCGATAACAGTAATTCTTTTATCGGTATTTTCGTGACATATAGTGATTTCGTTTTTGTATGACCGATTTCTACCGCATTGTCAGCTATCTTGTATATTTATGGCTTTAAGTTGCATTACTAACTTTTTATTATCATACGTCAAATATATAATTATCAAGCGAAGCAGTAGCGGCGCGACGCCAAGTATATAAAAAGACGAAAGATGACCTGTGAGTATACGGGCACTGTCATTGTCGAGGCGCTATACCGCTTATTTATCTCGGACTTTTATCTTGACAAATTTCTGATTTAAATATTTTAAATATTTTAAATATTTGATATTTTGATCACTTAACTTTATTTTCTATTTAATCTCTTGACTTACGGATTTAGTATCTATAATTCTAATTTTTTAAATTGTTTTTATTATATTATTTATTCCTTATTTATTCTTGTTATACGATTGACGAATCATGACTCTTTGTTCCCTAGAGACTCACACGACAAATTTGTATATGTGTATGTTGGATGACCGTATTACGAACTTCCACAGTTATCGGTAGGACTATGATTAAGTTCACCTGCGATACGAATATATGACAACAAATATACAAACACCTTGGAGTGCACAAATGAATATCGTATGAAAAAAAACTCTAAAATTGTATGTATAGGTATATATCACATAGAATATGAATTTATATTGTTAACTATTTTATATATTAGAATTATATTATAATTGTTTATCTCTTTTAAGATAACCATATATTTAGAGTCGAAACGTCAGAGTTCTTAGTAAATTAATGTATATTTTTTGTGTATATTTGGAATAATATTAAGATTATAGATGTATGAGCAAATTCGTCCTGCGTTGGCTCAATAACGCTTGTCCTTACTATTCGAATCTTTATTCTTAAGGGTCTTTGACACACTTAATTTTTTTAAATTTAATATCATATTTGTTTTTAAACTTTTATTTGTTAAAATATTATTTTTGGTTCAGGAAAAATGTAACGTACAATACTTTTTTTATATACTTGGCGTATAAGACTAAGCTTCGTAAGGATATGTATCAGTAAATAATTTCCTTTATCGATTAGAAACATTCGGCGTGTACTACATTGATTGTCGCTTCTTTTTTTGTGTGGTTCACTGTTGTATCAATTTTAAAACACAAATTTCTAAAGGACAACACAAGCAAAAATTTGGTATTAAATGTTTAACTAGTTAGCAAATAAAATGCGCACTGTTGCACTTATCTTTGTTATCATGGCGATTCATTGCCTGCATTTAACTGTTATTTAAATAATAAGCTGCTTATCCTTGGGCGGCGACTATTTTAGGTATTCAAAATAATTATTATCAATTGTAGATGGTTACTTTTATCTGGAAGTCATTTTTGACACGCGGCAATAACACTACATAAGAAAATAACAATGGAATAATACCGAGGTCATATTCTCAATTGCAAATCGCTTATAAATTTTATTTCAATTTTTTATATATACGTATAATTTTTGATTCAATGCAAACAAATATTTAATGAAAAGGATCGAAATGAACACAGAACGGCGCTAATATTATTCTGAATTATCATTAATGTAACGTTGCGTAAATTAATTGAAAGTAGAGTGAGGACTAAGTTCAATTGGAGTAAAAAAAAATGCATAAAATTATTCTTATAAAATATTATAAAGAATAAATCTTATAAATTATAAACGTAGTAGTAGTTTTTAAAAACATCTTATATTCTGTACGGATTAGAATTATTTTAATATTTTAGTTTTTATATAGTAAATTGTAACTATGTTATTTACAATTTTTGATGGTTTATATAATATATCGTACAAGTCTATAATGTAGTCTTACACATTTCTCGATAATATATGCATTTTATTTAGGTATGTAATTATAAATAAATTATGATAGGTTTAATATATGGGTAAGTAAAACGCAAGTAGAATGTATATGTATAGTGCTACGAGAATGAAGTCGGTTTAATATATGGATCAATAATTAACAGTCAAGAATCATAAAAAGATGACTGATCGAGCGATGTGTTGAGGACGGATATAAGATGCGATATGTTCAAATAAACGTATTCATTAAACAAAGAATTCATTTAATTTTGTAACAAAAAAGTTATGTAGAAGGAAATAAAATTTGAAACAATGTTATGCTGACCATTCTTTTATTTTATAAGCCCATCACCTAATAAAGTTGTTAACACGATTAAATAATAAGTGCATAGAAATTACAATATTTTGTAATGAAAGTTTAGCAACTGCTTATTTCAATACTTATAGAATTGTATTAAGTGCAAAAGAGATTAAAAGCAAAAAATAACGTCTTATAACTTCTTAAGTCTACAGTATGAGAATAAGCTGTCCAATATAATCATTTATCGATGCTTGGAAACCTATCCCGAAAGCTTGGTCGACTCTGTACCCATTGCATTGTGTACTGATTCCGCAGATCTTTTACCTGCAAAATACATTTCCACGAACAAAATTAGCATTAATAATGGGGTGCGTTTTTTATTGTAAATATGTATTTAATTCCAGAGGAAAACACATACCCGTTAAACCACGTTTACCTAATTCCGCAGATAGACCCATCTTTATTGGACCTGTACAATTCATTTCCACGAATAAAATTAGCATTAATAATGGGGTGCGTTTCTTATTGTAAATATATATTTATTTCAAGAAGAAACA